GAACCATTTCATTACAAAGCAATGAACATTTGTTTTGTATTCTACAAATTTCAGACCCAACACAATCTAGAACAAATTCATTACAAAACAATCAACATTTGTTTTCTATTATACAAATTACATACTCAAGAAGGTAAGAATTAATAAAGAACTAAATACAAAACCTAGATGGAAATGAACAAACTGCTGCAGCTGTACAGAAGATTCACTCCATCTTTCTTTCTTTCTTGTAATCTACTCGAATTTACGATCTTTTTACTTCGTGAAATCAAGCTAAACCCTTCGCCTTTTGTGGACATGAAGGCCTCCCGAAGCCATGAATCTCATACTCGCACGAATCACACAAATAATAGCCGCAATATTACTCTCCCGTCGATGACAATGCAACTCAAGGCTCGTGTTATTTAGTCTCTCAGGATAACAATGCGACATTCGAGCCTCGTGCTCTTCACCAAAATGCTGTAAAAAGAGGTTGAAATCAGAATACTGCCCGGGACTCGGCATATCATAGTTGAGGAGAAACGAGTAATTAGGGTCGTATATTTGTTCAGCTGATGATGACTCATTGTGCGGATTCACAATGTCCGTTGATGATGGCCAAAGCTCCGTAGCATCTTGACCGTCGATATTTTCGGAGATGATGAGATATGAGCCACTCGGTTCCTCTTGGACAGACGAGCTCGTTTTAGATGGAAATTGACGTTGAAGGGTATTTTCGTCAGTGAAGTGGGCGGCGTTCTTCCGATTCTCGAATGCAGAGAGCAGCAGATCGTGCGCTCGATCCTATTACAAGGCAACCATTCATCATTTCACATAAAATAAACACTAAAATTTGATAGGAAACACTATTTTTAACCGCATTTTTCATTCATTTTCGAGTTCTTACAGACACTCCCCAAATAAAGAGACGAAAAAAAACAGATCAAGACAACTAAACCTTAATAAAGATCAAACCTTTTCATCAGCCGACAAGCTCTCGACCGGAACATAGCTCGAGTCGTGGATTAACCCTTTTAGTCCTCCCACAACATCAAAGGCCACTCCCATTTTACTTCCCGATGAAGGGTAATATAGGTAAATCTTTTTATCTTCAACGACGCATGTTCGAGCATGATCTACTGTGGCATTCCATTTTGCACCACAATCGATTATCTGTACACCAAATAAATCAAAAAATCGAATAGAGTCAATAAACCAAATAATTTCTAGAAGTTACTAGAACAAAACAATTTTCGGTGTTCAAATTAATGAAAACGGACCATATAAGCAGCGAAAAATCGATTCTTGATAACAAAAATAAGCCAATAAAAGCAGGGTAATATAATGCAGGCATTACTTTCTGGAGCCTCTGAGGATCAATAGACAGCAAAAACAAAAAATCTCCCACGGTGAATACTTTTAATTTCTCGTTCAAAAGCTTGCAGCGCGGACCATCTTTTCTAATGTTCTCCAATCGCCACACGTGATCCGAAAGAGACGGTGGGTAGTGATTCCCATATACTTCGAAAAGAAATTGTTAGCCAAAAAATTACACAAACTTAACTTAAAAAAATAAAATAATAATGTTATGAAAAAATCTTACATTTGCTGCGGCTATCCAAGACCGAAAAAGACTCGGTCAATCCCTCTTTGACTTCAACACCTCTGAGATTCCCTACGACTCTTGCTCCGAGCCTGCAGCTGCAGCTTTTCATCCAGCTCGAGTCGTGTCCGAATTTGGCATTGAGCAAAATGCCTAAACCTTTATCGAGATATATATAGTAACTTTTCGGAAAGTGTGGCCTTTTCTTATCATCCTCTCTAATAATATTTTTGTTAAAGTCCTCATGACTTGGAGAATAATCGTTAATGACATCATCACTCGCGTCAAGAACTAATATCTCCACCTTTGCCGATGATTCGGGCCCACAACTTACAATCTGCTCGTTTGTGTTATCCACAATGGCTACTCGAACATGAGTGCCAGTTTTTCCTAGGATTGCCTTCCCGGTTAGAATGGGACCCGATATCTCGTCTAAGAACTTAAGTCGTAAACTTCTTTCCCTTGGCCTAGCCGTCTCGCTTGCATGGTTACTAAATAAGATGCGTCGTATTCGGGATAATAACAAAAGTTACCCACAATCATTTTTGTGTAACTACGTAAAGGAAAAGAAAATAAAATAAAAACTCGACTTCCAATTTAGTCTTATATTAGCAACATTCAATTTTTCAATGTATGACGAATAGCCTTATATATCATTTGACTATTGATATATTTCGAGAAGGTGATTGTTGAAATTGATGATGTAAGATGAGAAGTTGGGATATATATAATATACTAAAAAAAACAAAATATGTAACTAAAGGAATGCAAGAACTGAAACGAAAATGAATAGTGAAAAATATCGGGAAAAAATTAAGTTCCTCACCTTGCATTAATACAAGACAAAAATTTCTTCTCAATCGATTGAATTTCCTCTTTGACCTAAAAAAATAACCGAGGATTTATAAACCTATATAGCCATAAGAAAAGTTCGAGACTCGGAAGTTAGCTCATGAATACAAAACACACGATGGCCGATATTAGTGTCTTCATTACACCATTCAACTCAAGGCCTCATTTCTATCCACTCACCATATATAGAAACTTGATATATATACATTCACAAGCTAAGTTAAGTGACACTTACAACTTTACGGACCAAATTCTCGACAAAGGGCCCGATTACTTGATGAACCGTATGGATCACCATCATCTCAACTTCTTTTTTCATCATCCTACACATAAAAAAGGGTGGCCAAGTTAAAGTTGAGCATCACATCGAGATCAAGAACACAATCAAGAATCAACTAAACAAACCCCAATTATTCACTAACATACAAAATTAAGCTAAAGAATTACACAAAAACAAAGTAAATAACCAAACCAACAATCATCACAAAACCCATCTCATATCTCAACTCCACAATCCATTATCAGCCAAAAAAATTGAATACTAAAACCTAGAAAGGAACAAAAGGAGATTATTAGTCCCACCATTTTTGCCTCACTTTTCTTAAACCTACAACAAATTGACCAAATTAAGCTGAAGATTAGACAAAAAAAAAAAAAAAAAAAAAAAAAAAAAAAAAAAAA